GCACGCTCCGGATCAAACACCGCGGAAATGCTCCCAAGCATCGAGAACACCAAACACTCATGTTGAAAAGAAGGAATTTCGCGATTCTGATTCTGCGCATCACGCGCTGCTACCCGGAGCATGGGAAATCGCGGCTTGAAGATAAATTCTTACATCCGGTGATGTCAATACCGGCGCATCTGCGGCGCTCGCTTCATCTTTGTCGCTGTCGCAATCGCCATTCCAGTTGCCATCGCGATTATGGACTTGGATCCCACGACTCGTCGCAACCAAGAAGAGAACGCGCTTTTGACTCAGAATGAGGCCGGATCCAGCATCGGGCTGGTCACTGGAATTATAGCTTAGTGTGTACGGGATATTCTCGATAGCTCTGAGGTTGTCCGCTGCAGTGTCCGGCGTGTCACCGCTTGATGGCATTTCTCAACGTATCCTACTCCGTCGGTAGTTTCCTGATGGCACAATTATACTGCATCACCACCGCAGCTTCGCTGGGGCATGATTTGATCTGAAGCCTACATTGCTTTGCAATGCTATCAGCTTTTGTCTCATATGTCATTGTAGACGGCAGCGCACCTGTTCATGTTTTTCCATGTATAATGGGCCTCGATGCTGCATCCCTCCCAGCTGCGACCCATCGTTGTGTCTTCTGAAAGGATGTCTCTCTTTGGTATCTTTGAGTCCAGGAGACGACAAAGAATTTTTCTCCGAGTTGTGTGCAGGCCAGCTATATATGTGTTCTTCAATGTGGCAGATCAAAGCGATGTCCATGTGGTCTTGAAGCCTTGAATTACTGCCGGCCTGATTTTTATGCCTATTCCAGCCAGTATTCCCTATACCAAGACAACCTCGACCAACTCTGGTTCCTCCACATCGTGGCAGTAAGCAAAGCACATGCCCACGAGACGGAACGTGGCAGGGCCTGCAGGGCTCGCTTGATGATAAGGCCGGATTATCAACCCACTGACCGGAGGCATATGGACTCCGTCTTCATCTTTGTGGCTGAGTGCTTCAGCGGTACGAAACACAAAGTCCCCAGTCTGTACTTCTGCGAAGGCGATGCCGAACGCTGCACATCCTTCGTGTTCGTAGCGGAACGGATAGAGGCCCTGCAGTACTCGCCTCGCTTCCGACACAAAACTGTCATGGTCTATTTCATACTTCCGTTTTGGATCTTCTTCCAGTGGTAATCCGAAAACCTTCCTTACGTATTTATGCATTTCGGTGTAGTTACTCGACTTGATTTCATCGTGCCACCATGGTGTAGTCAGAGAGCCTTTGACCTCGACACGTGGTCGTGACAACATCGTTGGCGCGCGGGTAATCGCGAGAATGACTAACCACGCCACGATGTCTCTGGATATTGTTGAAGCCTGAACAACAAATTGACGGACAACAAATCGACGACCAAGCATCGTTTTCATAGATGCTAGCATGTCCAGACGGCAGGTGCTCGGTTGAACCTCGCAAATGCGATCGGTAGAACCACGGAATCGAAGCGCTCTAGAGTTGTACACTTCTATAAACATGGCTGTATCTCCTGTACCCAGCTTCATTGAGGGGAAATAGTAGCTCTCGGGGGCGTCGCGGACATCTGGCGAAAATCGAGGATTCTTCGTGTGGAGTGTGAGCATATCCTTCATATCCTCCATGGTCTTTTCTGTGTTCCAGCTGGGTACCCATGAAGGCCAGCGCTTGTCTTGCTGGGAGAGTGCCCCAAATTCGATGACTTGTGCGAGAACTTGAAAACCATGCCCAGATCCAACCGCAGCGGCGGCAAAATCGGTATAGACGTCCGAAAAGTGACTGTTGTAATTCACCGGGCACACTCGCATCAACGGTCTAACTTGTACAGGGGGAAGCTTTGTACTTAGCAAGAGACCGTACAAGGCATACAGGCGATCGCGTTCGTCGACACAATTGGCACGATGATACTGCTCCAGAAGCCCCAGTACTCTCTTAATCGCGTGATGTGGGTTTCTTTCCATTCCCTCAACATAATCTTTCTTCTGCGTCCTTGAAGTCTCCAGACTTTCAATAGTTTCGAGGGCCTGTGTTGCCACGGTAGCAAAACTACAGGCACCGTGCTCACGCTGGCTACTATCAAGAAGACTGCGATGAAAGTGCGCGCCCTGGTGGAATCTAACCCACGGAACTTCATGAAATCCGCAATGAACGATCACCTCGCGGGCAAGGGATACCTCTTGCAGGATCCATCGTCTTGTGAACCAAGCCCGATGGAAGAACTTCTTCACACACAAAGAGAGTGACGTCGTTTCGTCGGAACAACGACTCCAGACCTTCCTATCTATGGTCTGATGAAAGATTGTAACATAGGCCTCGTCCATGAACGAAAAACCCGGTTCGGGGTCACCGGTCCTGAACATTGGCCACACAGAATCAATCTCTTCGTCCGTTGCGGGGCCTAGCCAGACGTGTACTTTGCAAGCCAAGGCATAGATAATGTCCATCGTACGCACTTGTCGGCTCTTTTCTTGCCTTTCGGCTTGGTCGATGCAGACTTTGCCTTGGGTCAGTAAAGCCGGTGTGATGGAGAATGCATCAGTACGTACTAGCATCTATCCAGAGATAACATGACTCTGTAGGCTTCCTCAAATGTCGCAACATTTCATCGACGGTCGCCGTGATTCGGAGCACTTTGCCATCGCAATTGAGGGACACAAAATTCTCTTGAGTGCCCCAGCAATAGGATACGCAATCGTAAGCTGGCGGGGCTGCTTTGGCGTCCCTAATCTTCTGTACCACGAGGCTGCCGCGGAGAGGTTCAGCGAACGCGCCTGGCTCCAAATGGAGGACGCGGATCTCGTAGCTGGCGTTCATTGGTTGATACTGGTAAGGCGCCTCATGATCCTCCATCTTTGGTTGCCAGATCTGGGCTTGATGTATGACCCACGGCAAGTCGGATCAAGGCAGTTGAGACGTCAGGTTTGCGCGGCGGGTAACATCAGCTTTGTAGCATACTGCAGAACCCGTCCGGCTAAACAACAGGGTACAAGGCAAGAGAAAGGGGCGCAAAGTAGCAGAGATTACCCAGCCGACTCTATAGGTTTTCATGTCAAGTCGCACCAACCCCGCACCCGCGCATCCAAGATGAGGGCATGCGGCGCAGTCGACACACCCATGGACCGGGATATGTTGTTCAGTCATTGGACGTGTACGCGAGTGTAGCACAGCGACTGCGGGCTATAAAGCGATGGGTTGGCAGCGACGTCGTGAGTGCCAGCTTCATAGCAGAGCGATAGCCGCCGATGTAGCCGTCGGAGAGTGCTATGACATCATCGACATCAACACACGCGAACGCCGTATGTCCTCGCGATTGATGGCTTTACCTTGTCGCGCGCGTATAGAGATGGAGTTCGCGTAGTGTACGATCCCGCGTTCGAAAGACGTGATGGAAGCCTCCATGATCAGGTAGGACCGTGACTAGGCGCCCGTAGCCGATCGCCCCTTCCCCATGAAGCCGCCTTAACTCATCCCGCAACCATCACATATATCCACACCGCACAACACAATGGCCATCACCAACGTCGCCCTCATCGGTGGCACAGGCACGCTCGGCGCACCCGTCCTCAACGCGCTCAAAACCTCCGAGTTCGACATCTTCGTCCTCAACCGCCAAACATCCAAATCGGTCTACCCCAAAACGAAAGTCATTACAATCCCCGATGATCTCAACGTTGATGGAGTCGCCAAAGTACTACGAGAAAACAAGATCGACGCCCTCGTCATCACCATCGCAGGAAGCCATGTCGAGTCGCAGAAGAAGCTCATCGATGCCGCATTCAAGGGCGGCGTGAAGCGCGTCATGCCCGCCGAATTCGGCAGCTGCGATTCTGCGGATGACAAGACGAATGAGATTCTACCGCTGATGAAGGGCAAGAAAGACGTGCGAGATTACCTCCTGACATTGGAGAACAAGGAGCGCGAGGACGGCATGGGGAAGCTGACTTGGACGAGTCTCGTCACCGGCCACTTCTTCGATTGGGGCATGACCTGCGGTCTACTGAAGTTCGATGTAAAAGGGCGCAAAGCATACATTCTCGACGGCGGTAACATCAAGTTCTCCGCTTCGAACCTGGACTTCATCGGCAAAGCAGTCATCAAGATCTTGGAGAAGCCAGATGAAACTGCTAACAAGCTACTCTACGTCCACAGCCACCATGTCACGCAACTCGAGGTTCTTGCTGCGCTGGAGAAGGCTACAGGCGACAAGTTTGAGCGCATCGATCAGAACAGTAAGGAAGAGCTGGACGTTTCTCGGCCGAAGATGCTGAGTGGAGATGGTGAGGCGAGGGAAGAGGTCGTCGCAGTGTGGGGAGTGGTCGCTGCGGACTGGAAAGAGAAGGAAGGCTTTGCAAATGATCTGCTAGGGCTGCAAGAGGAAGATCTCGATGAAGTCGTACGAAGGGTTGTGGCGGATTTGTGAACGCGGGTCCGTTGTAGAATAGAGCCGCATACCTCAACGCGGGCAAGTCAACGATGGTTACGGACGTGATAGTAGTCTACCAATCACGCTAGTCGCGAAACTGCTATCCAGCACTAGTGATACCCGTCTAGTAACAATATGCGGGGGAATAAACTCCCACAAAATCACGTTCCCACGCAACGATGAATCACCATGACGGCTACACCCAAAGTTAATCGCAGGACGACTTCAGGTTCGAGAGCGAAGCCCAGAAGACTGCCAAAGGTCATGATTAGTCGTCATTGCGCGGTGTACCAAGTCCTACGTCCTCTTGTTAGTCCCAATGCGGTGCATGATTAGCGCAGCCCTTAGTAACCACTCGGTTGTGATTACTATTCCTAATCACGTGTAGCCTACCTAGGTAAATCTACATCGTCGGCATGCATGAATGTATTTGGATATTATATAAGCCTCGTAGTAAACCCGATATCCAGACAACCAACACAACGCCTTCTCCCACAACATTTCCCAGGTAAATCCCAACTCAAAGCCTCGTACCCGCCCGTCAACCACAGCAATGCCTCTCTGGATCATCTACCACCCCCCCAACACCTTCACCTCGCTCCCCGATAAAACCGCCCTCGCAAACGAAATCACAAAACTCTACACCATCGTCGGCCTCCCTAGATTCTACGTAAACGTCCTCTTCCAGCCCATTCAACCCGAGTCTTTCTTTATCGGCGGCGTACCCCGTCCCTCACCCAACAGCGAAGCAAACAAGCCCGGCCGCGATAGCTCAGTGTCTATGATACGGATCAAGATGGAACATCTTGCAAGGCAATTGTACTTACATCCCTATGTTCATCTCTCATGGAAGTATGTGCTGACGCATGAGAACAGTACTTCACTCGAGCACAAACACCGCTTTATGGATGCTGTGGACAAGGCGTTGAAGCCGTTTATTGCGGATAAAGGCTACGATTGGGAGTATAGTTGTGAAGATGTAGACAGGGATTTGTGGAAGGTGAATGGAATGGTGCCGCCGATGCCGGGGACGGATGCGGAGAAGGAGTGGGCGGAGAAGAATGTTGCTGTGCCGTTTAGCGCGGAGAAGGGGGGGTTGGCGGGGAAGTTGTAGGGGATGGTGGATGAATAGAGACACTAGCGAGTATGAGAATGCCTATGAACATGAAGGTGCTAGCGGGTATGAAGATAGCTAAGTACTTGAGGATGCTAAAGAATACGTCGACGCCAAAGAGTGTGGAAATGCCTGTAAGCGTCGTGTGTAGTCTGTAAATGGCTTCTTCAGATTCGTGTGGTAGTTTTATGTAGTTAATAAGCGATTGCTATGACGATGTGACTTGTAAGCGGAGAGGGGACTTGAAAGCGAAAGAATAATAAGGGATCGGTTGAATATGGATGTAGGCGTCTGGATTGGGGAAGCTATGTAGTCTCAGGTGTTGTGGTTCGAGGACGATGGCGCAGTGCGAGTGAACGTTACATCATGCCGAAGTCTCGATTCTCAACTTCCACCTCGTCGCGCGACTCACGCATCATCTTTGATGCCCACTGTCATTATGAGATGCCACAGCAGTATGGGAGTAAACTGGGGATAGGATGACTCTGGTGTCGAAGGTCGACGTTGGCCGCGCCTTCCTTCCACGGGTCGCTCTCACCTCACTCGCCAACGAAAAGCGCGTTTGCTCTCATAGTAGCGTATCCACCGCTACCGACACAATGCCTTACCTTCACTTTGTTTGCAGAGCCTTCACTCACCAGCCCCTCCCACGCCAGCTTCCAGCATGAAGCTCCACATCCTCACCCTCGCAGTGCTCGCGACACTGGCCTCGACACACGTCCTCCCTCCCAGAGATACCTCACTCACGAACCTCACCTACGGTGTCAACCTCAAAGATACACCCGAAGACCATGCCGCAGCGACATTCGATCCCTCCACCGTCCACACCACCGCCGACCCCCCACCCCCCAACGCCAAATACGACAAAGCCGTCTCCACCGGCCAAACCCTCGACTCCGCCATGAAATCCAAAGACAACATCGCGCGCTGGCTCTTCAAAGACTTCCCGCAATACGCTGAAACCTGTCAATCCCCGTTCACCGGCGACGGGCGTGCCGACCTCGCGAAATGGGGTTTCGACGACAGTGACGCACTGAGCGAGAAGATAAAGAACGAATGCGACTTCGATGCGTATCATAAGATTAAAGCCGCGTTCGATGAGATTGGTCTTGATACGAAGGCGGCGAAGGATGGGGGGCCGAATCGGTGTTTCAAGGTTAATCATCGGGATGGGCCGGCGATTAAGAGGGATGAGAAGGGGGAGTTGCCGAATGAGGCGAAGCAGTATTATGATGTTTGTGGGCGGGAATACAGAGTACACCTCACCCTCATTCAACCGCCATGAAAACCGAGGCTAACACACGCACACCCCAGGCCACAGGCGCATCCTACGAATTCGCCGCCAACCCCTCCGGCCTCCTCGCCCTCATGAACATCATGTCCATGACCTACTCCGCAAAAACATACACCTGGTTCCGCACGCCCCTGCCCAGCGAACTCCCCGACATAGGCACCACGCAGGATATCGGGTGGGCCATGTGGAACCGCGTCGGCGCGACTAGTCCCGCTGGATTGAAGGGATTGAAGTATCTGCTTGTGACGCAGGTGATGAATGCGGGGAGTAGAGAGATATTTCGGCATGCGCTGGGCTTGTTGGAGCCGCCGGAGAGTGAGTATAAAGTTTGGCCGGGGCATGAGTTTCTGATGGATGGGAAGGGGAAGGGGGGGAAGGGGGGGTTGGCTATACTGGGTATGTTTGATCGCACAACTCTGATTTCTCGATGGGGATGAAGATGGAGGAAGGAACGCGGGCTAACGAGATACTAGGTTCGCCGGTGGGTCGATGGGCGGGCTATCTCTTGCTCCAGCACAAGGACCAGCTCGGTGGGAATCGGTACATCGAGAAGGTGAGGCTGTTCAAACCGCCCGGGGCGAGCTTGCCATACCTTCTCTTCTACGTCGCGAAGGATCCGTGGGTCGGCGAAGTCAAACCGGTGGCTGCGAAGATGGTGAGCGGGATGAACGTCACGAATGCGTTGGAGATGGATGATGGGATGACTGCGACGGATGTGTCGGTGAAGAGAGGGGATGAAAAGAACCTCATCAGACAGCATGTCGTCGTTGTACGAACATAGCGTGTTGCAACGAGGAGAGCTTGGTTGGCGCATGGAGGTTGCGATAGCCTTCGAAAGGATATAAGACGAGAAAGTTGTACTATCTGCTTCATAGATCGTCAGACGCACCCGTCGACCAGATACAAAAGATTGATCTATACATTCTCAATCAACGAAGGATCTGTAGGCTAATGTTGTTCAACCAGTGGTTGTAAGTCGAACGGCACGGATCTCACACGACGGCATTACATAAGCATGTAGTAGACGAGATCTCCCGCAGCCTCCCCCACCTACCCGGTTGTAACGAAGGGAGATTCAGTGAGTATATGAAGGTTGAGATAGCTTCTTAACACCTCCTCAATGAGAAAAGTCATACCATCTCTCTCAACCTCTGCAGCACAAATATCATCCATATCCCCAAATCCACCACCTCCACCCATCTACACAAAATCAAAAACATCACCCTTATCCCCCACCATCCTCCCCACCCTCTTCCCGCCCACAATCCTCTCCAACTCCATCCTCTCCCACCTCGAAAAACACACCTTGACACTCGCTTCCGCCCTGCTTATCTCCGCCCTCTCGATGCTCTTCCCCACGAACCCCAGTATCTCGTCGTAGAACTTGGGGTTCTCAGGAACGCCGTAAAACACCACGCGCTTCACACCCCTGAGATTATAGCGATGGAAATGGTGCGCGCGGCCGGTGTAGAGAAGGAGGGAATGCTTGCCATTCATGAAATGGGACCGTGCCTTGCGGACGTCGGTTGCGTCTGTGTATTCGCTGATGGATGCGTATGCGATATCGGAATCAACGAGGGAGTTCCTGACGCGTACAAAGTCTAGGTAAGACGGTATAAACACCAACGCACCCAACCCGCCATCTGGTTGTTTTGGTAACCGACTAATACCCGGCAAGACCGAGTTCGTGAAGTATTTAAACCGCGCATCAGGGTCTGTGAGGTGAGACGGCGAGTCGAACCGCGTGAACGTTTGTTTGATTCCGTAAGAGAGTGACTCGATGAGGCCGGCGGTGTGGTCCGGTACGTATTTCAGGCGGCCGGCGTAGTTGCGCATGTGTTTGTTAAACAGGGTGTTTATCTTCGGTGTTAGGAATGCGGATAGAATGATAGTTTGACGGATGTAAGGTGCATGGCCATCTAAATACCAACTCCTCACGCGCGAAAAGTCGCAGCCATGCGCATCTTTCGGCTGGAGATTCAAGTGCTCGAACACGTATTCTGCGTGCTCCCAATTTTGCATTAGCGCTGCGTCGGCTTGTTCCATGATGACCATTTCGATGGAGGAGAGGAAGTCGGAGTCGCCTTGTTTCTTTTTGGGGTCGCCGGTTTCGATGGCGCGGCGCAGACCGAGGGTGGATGCGAAGATGATGTCGGAGTTGTAGAATGTGGAGTAGAACTTCAGCGTCTTGCGTGTGAGTTTTACGCCGATGCGGAATTCGTTGTCGTCGTTTCCTTCGAACAACTCGCGGAAGTCGGCGGGGCGGTCGGGCGAGAATTTTTCTTCTGGAAGGGAGAAGGAGTCGAGGAAGCGCTTTTTGTTTTCTTGCTGCTCGAAGGCGTGGAGCGAGGTTAGGGAGTCGAGGACGCGGACGCAGGCTTGTTTCGTCTCGAGGAGGAAGAGGATTTTGGGGCGCGTGAATCCTTGGTCGCGGTATTCGATGTCGGGGTCGGAGGAGTCTTTGGATGTGGAAAGCTTGGCGTTGTTTTTGAGGACGCGGTCGCGGGTTGTGAGGATGTGGTTTAGGGCGTGCAGACAGGTTATGTCGCGTAGACGGCTGGCGTTTTGGACTGTTCTTGCGCCGAAGAGCAGGTCTTGGTAGCCGAAGATTGAGGGTGCGATGGCTTGTTCTAGCTCATCGAAAGCGCCGACCTTCTTCTGGGCGTTTTCAACAAGTCGCGCTTTCAACTGGACGTCGCGTACACTTCTTAGCTTCCGGGTTGGCTTGACCTCGTCGCTGGGAACCTGGAATATGCCGACGCCCTTTCCGGACGCTCGATCCAGCTTCTGTGATGTCCACTGGTTGGCTGCTATCCGCTTGAGTCGCATGGCTAGTTCGTTCTCATCGGGGTTCGCAAAGTGCTTCTGGTAGGCCTGCTCGAGCTCCTGCTCTTCCTGGTCGTCATCCTCCGCGTCTTCATCATTATCAACCTCAGCCTGCTCGTCCTCCGCCTCGTCGCCCTCCAGTGTGGTAGATTCAGCGTCGTCGTCTACTTCGACCTCCTGTTCAGGCTCATCGTGCTCCAGCTTCCGCCTCTTCTTGCGATGCTCTTCCGAACCAGTATTGCGCGACGAGAAAGACTGCAGAAGAGTCGCATAGGCGTTCGAGATGGGTTGCGCTTCTTCTTCCTCCTCTTCGTCCGAGACATCGTCTTCTGATACGTCGGATTCGCTCTCGTCGGATGGGGTGGGTTCGCGCATGGGGATGTTCCTGGTATTGTTAGGATTGGACTAATGTAACTGCGACCAATATCCGTACTCACGAATCTTCGACCTCGTCTCGTGTTCTCGCTGCGGCAAATCCGCCTCTGCTTCCACCTCTTCCACGACCTCTCATGCCGCCTCTGCCCCTTCCCATTCCGCCGCCTCTGCCGCCTCTACTGCCGCCCCTTCCTCCTCCACGAGCGCCGCCTCGTCCTCTCATTGGCGCCATGCCGGTTGCGCGGTGTATGCGCCGATGTGTAGGGAGCTTGATGCAAGGTGCGGGTCTTTTCGCAATGAGTAGTGGAGGTGGGTGGAAGTTACGACCACCTCTTGCGCAGGCAGAGAAGTGAAGTATATGGATGTGAGAGGTAGAGTTGTCCCGTTGAGATACTTCGTAGGTTAACTCCGCGCCGCGAAAAAGTTCAGATGGTCCGTGCAAGCGAACGCACCCTGCCCAGATTTCGTGAAGAATATCGCTGCGTGCCCCACCAACCACATTTGACGTCTCCGAGCGCCTCACCACACGCCCACCACCACGCCCACCCGCAATACCCTACCACCATCACAACCGCCACCATGGCCGAGAACGACTCCTTCCTGCATCTGGCGCGCCCGCTCGGCCCCGCCTCCATGGGCACCCAGCCGTCGACTGCCCCGCTGAACGTCGCCATCCAGCCCCAGGTATGCGACAAGCCACGGTCGAGGCTGCCTGCTCTACTCTCTGACACCATCTGCTAGGCCGTCTTCTCCATCCTCGACCACTCCCTCCGCCGCCCCGCCGAGCAGGAGCGCGTCATCGGCACCCTCCTCGGCACCCGCAGCGAAGACGGCACCGAGATCGAGATCCGCAACTGCTATGCCGTCCCCCACACCGAGACGGCTGAACAGGTCGAGGTCGACATGGACTACCAGAAGCAGATGCTCGCCCTGCACCTGCGCGCCAACCCCCGCGAAGTCCTCGTCGGCTGGTACGCGACCAGCAGCGACCTCAACACCTTCTCCGCCCTCATCCAGAACTTCTACAGCCAGCAAGGCGACGGCACATGGCCACACCCCGCCGTCCACCTGACTGTTTCCACCGTCCCCGGCCAGGAGATCGAGTCCAAGACGTACATCTCGGCGCCCATTGGCGTCACCGCCGAGCGCGCCGCCGACTCGTGCCTCTTCATCCCCGTGCCCCACGAGATCAAGTACGGCGAGGCCGAGCGGTCAGGCCTGGAGCTCATCTCGTCCGCCAAGGACCGCGAGGACCGGTCGCAGGACGTCATGACGGACCTTGACTCGCTGGAGACGGCCATCACACACGTCCTGGACATGCTCGAGCGCGTCTCCAACTACGTCAACAACGTGCTGGACGAGGAGGCCGAGCCATCCTCCGCGCTGGGCCAGTTCCTGATGAACGCCCTCAGCCTGGCACCCAAGGTCGAGCCCGCCGACATTGAGCGCGACTTGTACGTCAGAAATATTTATACTTCCAGACATATGCTAATAAATTCCAGCAACGCACACATCCAAGACGTCCTCGTCGTATCATACCTCGCCAACACCATCCGCACACAAATCGACCTCTCGAACCGTCTCGCGACCGCTGCGCTCACCATGGGCGGCGGCGACCCTCTCGCTGGCGACGGCAAGAAGGACGGCGACAACAGGGGCAAGGGCGGCGACCGACGAGGCGGCGGCAAGGGCAGGCAACAAAGAGAGCAGGAGGCATGAATGGGATAAAAGGCACACTGCATGGAGTTTGGCGTTCTAGTGACATGCCACTGCTAACGCAGTAAGCGCGACATCGCGCGACATGACGCTCTGGGACTAGCGTTATCAGGAAGAAGTCGGGTTTGAGGTCAGACAATGGTCGCGAGGGCTATGATGAGAGACAATGTGATCAGGGGGGTGATTTACTCGTGAGCGAGCGAGCGAGCGAGCGAGTTAGAGTCTGTCCGAGAAGCGCTGTATAACTACTACATTCATCCCTGCGGTAGCATTGACGGCATTTGGCCATATGCATGAAAAGTCATGAAATGAACAAGATTAAACAGCTGGGGTTGTACGTGTGATTTCATTTCCCGATTCAGACACGGCTTGTTCGCTATTTACATTTTAGTGCACCATGATAGAAGCACCATGATAGAAAAGCAGGCATGCACCTCGGAGTTGAAATCCAAGATATGACGCAAGAGGAAAATGCACCGTGATGGAGACCACGATAGAGCGCAAAAGGAAAGTGCACCGTGATGGAAACCACGATATGAAGCGAAGGGAAAATACACCGTAATAAAGACCACGATATAACGCGAAAAGAGAGTGCACCAGATCGAGACCTGATAGAACGCGAAGGGGGATGCACCGTGATGAAGACCACGATAGAATGGAGTGCACCAGATATACATCTGATAGAGCGCGAAACCGAAATGCACCGTGATAGAAACCACGATAGAACAGAGTGCACCGTGATACACACCACGATATGAAGCGAAAGGAAAAGTGCACCAGATCGAGATCCGATAGAACGCAGTAAAACCATGCTCCGTGCATTCATTAGCCACACAAGCCGCTTGCCATTTCGCCGTCTGCGATAGCCCAATTTTCCATTTTCTGTCTTGGGGTTAGCATCGCTGGTTTGAGAAAGTGTCCTAGGGGTTGGTACTTACTTCGAGGTTCAATAGCCGCGACGTAAGGCGGTTGCAATTGTTGTGTCGATTTGGGTCAATCATTTCGGGACATTCGATTTGGTTCATGTCGATTTGGTTCAATCAATTCGGTTCGCTTGATTTTGGTCATGTCGATTTGGTCCACTCAATTCGATTCATGTCGATTCGTATCATTCGATTTGGTTCAACCAATTCGGTTCGAGGATCATGGTCGAGGACGAGCTCGCGAATGGCCGCCGCAATATGCCACGGATGCTGACGTTTTCGCGACACCTCCAATTCCGATTTGTCGTTTTGCGATTTCGATTGCGATGCTAGCAAGATGGGCAATTCGTCGAGGTTGTTTAGCAATTCCGCCGCTTTGGTTGCAAGGGCAGCGACGGCATTGACTCGCTTTTCTATGGGTATGTTAGCAGGGTGCTTAGAACAGCTGTACGCGTGATCATGACTCACTTCCGACGCCTTTGCATCGCAGGTACAATTCCACAGACCGATTGTCAACAATTCAGCGCCGGTGCGTCGGCAACGAGGCGCTCGAGCGCCTTGATTGTACGCTCGTAGTCATTTTGCAATTGCAATGTTTTCAAGGAGTCATGACGAGGATGAGCGGCGGCTCTAGCGATTTGCGATTCAATGTGTGTCGGCGTAGTGTTCACATTGCGTTTTGTTGTTGTTGCTTCGTGGTGATGGTGTTGTGGTGATGATGGACTGGCTAGGCAGCAGCGGAAGGCAGGCCCGACGCCCCGCATTGATCAGTCACGTGCTTGTGCGTCATCGCCGTTAACACCTGAGCGCCTTCTGCAACACTACAACCGCCGCACGTACTCAGCATCTACCAGCATCGCCTATCGGGTGGTTAACGAAATTGCCCACCATCATCCGCGTCATCGATCAGGACTTCTCCATATGCCACGTGAATCTCCGAACACAACATGAAGTGATCTCCCGTCGTGGCGCAGTCGTGGCAGTGAACTCCAGACCGTTCAGCCCGATGAAAGCGAGGCTGGCGCTCTTCCTGGTTCAACAACAGTACCCGGTAACGCTCTCTAATCCCTCATGGTAGGAGCTTGATTCTGGACTAGGCTACGAGATGTTGACCTCACCGCCCATTGTGGAGTTGCCTCAGGCAGACTCAGAATCTCGTGTCGTCGTAATGGCTTTCGGTCCTGCTGGCACCGCGTGGTTTGCTGCGCCTGCTTCACAGTTCTGCCTGGAAAAGGTTAAGGTATAAGGATGTCTTGCATCTCTATTCAGATTGACCAACATGCTAGTATTCTGGTTACGTATCTTTGTTGCAATGTCACTTCGCAACACTCTCGTCGCTGACAACACCCCTTCTGCTTCGTCACAGAGAGTCGCGCGCCATCCGGTTAACCTGAATGCCGTTCCCGATGACATTCACCACCTCATTCTCTCGAACATCGTGGACACATCACCCGCAGATCTACTCAATGTAGCACAATCTTCTGGGGTCTTGCACGATGCGGCATTGCCGTACATATACCGCAACATCATCTTGAAAGGAGAGTCAACGGCATACCAGGCACTCGTGGAGAAGCTCTCCAAGGATGAGCACGGTGACCTTACGAAGCATATTCGCGGTATTACCGTCAAAGACGAGGTACCCTCTGCAGACCTCATTACGATACTCAACAATACTTCGCGACATAAAAATCTCCGATCACTCAAGTACGTTGATTCGCACTTTTGTAAGCACTGAACTGACTCTGATAGTTGGGAGACCTCCGCGCACATACCTCCGGCAGTATACGACATTATCCACGCGATTGAACCGAAGCCCGAGATACGCGTTGTTGTCGTGGACCGAAAGATGGCGAAGACTATTCCACATCGTCAGATAGACATGAAGCTTCTGTCATCTCCGCTTCTCGTCAGCTTGACCTACGAGGTATACATGCAGGGCTTCGCTCCCGAGCACCCATGCCGATCCGAGTGGCCTCGATTCTCCCAGGCACTGGCGGCTGGCGGGAACGTTAGATCTCTTCGGCTCCAAGTTTTGCAAGACGGCCACAACCTTTTCACACCCGATACGGAGCCGGCGAAGATACCGCGTCTCGATCTCACCACCGGTATGCGCCTACCTCTTCTCGAGGAAATGACTCTTCAGACTTTGAGATATCATGGTCAGACGGCGTACCTCTGGGATCCCGACTACTGCCGCATGTTTCGCGATGCTATCGACCCTTCCCGACTGCGTAAGCTTGACTTCGGCGGCGAACATCCCGAGAACTTCTTTACTTGCTTTACAGGACTTTGCCCTCAGCTTGAAGTGCTGAGTTTTGGGATGTGGGAAGGAGATAAAGCGCCTGCGAAGCGATTCATTGAGTCGATTGATGCACTTGAACATCTCGATTTGTCACGGGCGCAAGCGGGTATAGACGACCTTTGGCCCGCTATTGAGCAGCACAAGGATACACTCGAGACACTGATCCTTGGGCCGACATTCGAAGCATACTGCCACAAGGTTGTCATGCCCTTCAGCCGTTTGAAGGACATCGCGCGGACATTCCCTAGACTCAAGCATCTAGGCTGGGACGCACCCTGCGAACGCAACGTAAGCCACGCTCACTCGGACCAAATTCACAGTTGCGCTGACCGTGCTATTAGATCGATCCGCAACATCTCGTCGCCCTAGTAGGGCTAAATCTTACGAAGCTTGATCTCTGGCTGCACATTCCCCACGAAGCAAATGACTACAGCGAAAAGCTCGTACAAGATATTTGGGGCAACATCCCCCACCCCGAACTTAACAAAGAAAGTACTGTCGCATCTGCGACCGGTATCGCAGATCGTCTTCTGGGGTCGGGGCAAGGCGCTTTTAAGTGGCTTACTCTTCATCTTTCGCGAGAGGGGGCGTCGGATCGCTGCCAGCCGTATATGATGTACTCGAAGCTGCAACTTAGACTGAATGCGCGTTCCGAAAGGACGCGTGGAGACAAGTGGAATGTGCGCGGTAAGCTGGACTGGTCTTATGAACCCACTTTGGTGGAAGATCTGCTGTTTGAGGGAAAATAGGAGGATGACGACCAGGATGAGGTACAAGACGGTGTCCTTTCTTGCAATTGAACCTTTGTGCATTCTGCTCCCTTTCTCATCTTATGATCCTTCGGCATAGTAGGTGATGCTAGTCAATAGTTAGCTCTCTGTCATCCACTGCATCCACTGGTACTGCGAAGACGCAGAGTAAGCAATGAGCCACTCACAACTCCCGCAATATATCACTATCCTATTCGCAATCGTAATCCTCAAATGAGAGAGATTGCAATCATGAGACTCATGGTTGGCTCGTCTTAATTATGGGGTGTATGCGAACCACGGAACAGCCATAACCCTGTTTGGTAGCGAACGTCACATTCATCCATCTACTCGAAAAGCTTTGCACCCAAAATATTCGCCTTTGCATCTATTATATCTCCTCATAACACTCGCAACAATGTACGAACATGAGCTAGAACAACAGAGCGATGAGCAAGCGATGCTAGTCGCCGACCAGACGCCCACACAAGAGCAGCGTAAAGCCGCACAACGCTTCGAAAAGATCGAAAGAAGAGCCATAAGAAACCGCATAGCCCATCTCGACCAACTTCTCGCACGCGCGAGGGAGAATGCATACAAGGCTCATTACCGCGCGGCTGATCTGAGCGCAAAAGTCGAGGAAGAACGACCTGCTCTCATCGAGGCCTTGCTTCCATACGAAAGGCGCAAGGCAGCAAGATCGAGACAAAGAGCCAGAAAGCACCACACGGAGCTTCTTAACCGGTTCTTCCGACTTCCCAGAGAGATCCGCGACATGGTATACCACCACGCCTGGAGCGGCACGATGATATCCTTTTACCAAGAGCTAACCTGGAATTTCGCGGAACACGATCTTATTCCCTGGGGCCCAGTTATGACAGCTGAGTATTCATCGGAAGGTACATACAGGGCGAGTCTTATGTCGACATGCGATCTTGTCGCACCAGTGCACGGAGGCCCCTGCAAGGGACTTCGACACGCGCAAGAGTATGCTTGGATATGGACGAGCCAGCAGATCTACACAGAGTCTACGGAGCAGTTTTATCGGTATACCCAGTTCACACGACCAGTGCGGGCTGAGAGACATTACTATCATATGTGCGCGCACATCGTTCCGAGACGCAAGTTATACGAGTCGGCGGACGCCTTCCCGAATATCCTCCTCGCACGCCGAGTACTGCTCGATGTAGGATACGAAGTATGCCTTGACGTCGCCAACCATGGCATATCGGCCTCGATTCTGGAACTGCTGGCTATGGCGAAGAAAGGGGATCAGAAGAAGGCGCTGCAGGTGAGTTGGATTAGGGTTATAAGGAGTATGGCGGACACGAAACCTTTTCAGCTTAAGGATTTGGTTCCGGCTAGTACGCCTCATTCTATGGCTAGTAGAGCGTTCGAGGAGCTCGTGTTGAAGGATTTGGAGAGGGTGGGCTGGGAGATTGCGGTTGGTGAAGAGGAAGGGTAATTTGATGGTACGGCGGGAACGTGGAGCAAGATCGGACACCTGATGCTTGCGCAACTTCGAAAGGAGACGCAAGCAGATACTCTCACGAAGGGAATACATTGCAGGTATGAAATGCCGATCATTGATGACGGTGATATAGTGGGTATGCCTTCTGCTTCATGAGAGCGCAATGAACCTGTATTGCTAGTGCGGTAGCAATCTGCTATAGGCAGACGTATTCTTCGCTTGGAGTTGATGTTGATAGCGAAGGCGCAGCAAAGGACGCAACAGCTTGGACGCACGCAGTGGTGTTTAACAGGGGATGGACGAAAGATAAGTAGTAGTAGTCTGTATGTAAGGGTATTGTTGTCAGGGCGCCTACTGTAATAGCCGTATATAGTATAACATTTCTACCTTACATTAGCCACTTCCCTTTCCTACCGACCTACGAAACCACGGAGCTTTCTTCTCGGCTGAAGTTCTGGCGCGCATCGTTATTGATGATCCAGGAACAACCATGCTATCCCACAACCCCTGCAGGATGATGACGTCGTCGCCCCTGACAAGGTCGTACTGTCCGCTGATCTTTAGCCTGAAGACCTCTGCTGATCCAGCACAGATCTCCGCGAGGAATTCTTCCATCCCCTGCATTAATTAGTATAAGTACCTTACGAAGCTTGGAACATTGCTTACCTTCCACGTGCTACACAAACGCCAGGGGCCTTCGAACTTACGGCCGACGGGATCATGGAAGATAATAGGCGCACTCGTCTTTGGTGCAAGTATCTTTGCTTTCTCTAATTCTTGCGCCGCTTCTTTCGCGTCCTGTAGGGCTCTCGCATGAGCGGCTTCTATAGACTTCCGCTCCTCTGCTGCCTTCTCTTCAGCCGCCTCTCTTGCCCTTTGCGCAGCCTCTAACATAAGCTTTGCTTTCTCACTCGCTGCTTTCTTCTCCTCAGCTATCTTTGCATCTTTCATATCGGCTGCTTGTCGCTCTGCATAGCGTACCGCATCCGCGGCAGCTTCCCTCTTGAGCTGCTCATCTTTCTGGCCTAGAATCAATTTCTCAAGATTCGCTAGTCTGTCAACTTCATAGCTACGACTGCGCGGATTGCGTTCCTGTTGATTATCATAACGCGCCGTCTCTTCGTCCTTATACCTAGAGGGTTTCTGCCGGCGAGCTCCCGCATTTATTGTCGAGCGGTTGGCCTTCTTCGCCGTTGATCGAGATTCACGCTTAGGGGGGGTTGACCCTTCAGGTGCAGCCCTGCGTTGTCGTGGTACATCGTTGCGTAGCGGACTTGGGGTTTCACACTCGGAAGATGTTTCTGCATTTGCGCCGGTATCAGACGAGGACGATTCACCTTCGCTTGCAGTATAGTGCATTATTCCTCGACGATGTGGAAGAGATCTGTCTCGACGTGGTGGAAGAGATCTTTCTCGATGTGGTGGAAGAGGTCTGTCTCGATCCGGTAGAGGAGAGCTATCTCGGCCTGGTGGAAGAGATCTCTCTCTTATAGGCGGCGATCGGGTCGAGGGGGGAGAATTGCGGTACTCTTCTGTTGCTAGGCGAGGCTCTGGAGAACTGTAGAGCTCGGGATGGCTTACGGGGGTAACGACATCACTAGTTGAGTCTGTGCGCTCATGTACAGAAGAGCTCTCGAAGGCATCCCAGTTCCATGCCGCTTTTCGGCTAGGATAATCCAGCACATCTTTGGCTAACGCGCTAGACATCTGCTGCATTTCGATTGCTTGTGTACAGTCGTAAAAGATTTGGAGGGCGAAATCATCAGGCTCAGAGTCTGGGTTAGTGAGAAGTGTTGCGTCGTGTACTGCTAGGCTGCGCTCGTCCAGAGGCCGCAGCCTAGACACGATTAGCTCTCCCCCAGCACCTTGTTCCGCGTCTTTCACCTCGGTCGTAGCGCTGGAACCCACAGTGGGCGTGAAAGATGGAACCTCGTCTTGCTGAACAGTGGTGTGATAGTGCAGACACTCCGTAGCGTCTTCCGCAAATTTGATGTTGCTCTCAACTTGCGTCTTTAGACTCTCGCTATAAGTACGTTAGCCATAATGCCATGTTTGCGATCTTCCGTAGTGTACCTTATAGACTCGGGGGCATTCCGCTCCAGCACAACGGCTAAGTTCATCGTGGAGACAAGGACGATGATAGTGGTTTTGAAAGAGTCGATCAGGCTCTTGACGAACATGACCTTAGGCCCCACTTTCATCCATCTGAAACGGAATCGTACCATCGATGTGGTGAAAGCGCGTCTTGCGGGGTCGGGCTGAACCGGCTCTCCGATGAGCATCTTTAAATCCTCTATGAGTGTTTTGCATGCAGCGATCAAGACGACAGTAATTTCGCGAAGCTTTTCCGTCTTGATGTTTGGGGTGTCCACAATCATACTCAACTGTGTGAGATAGCTTGAGAGTCCGTTGATGTCTACAGCAATGATCCTAGCTTCGTACTCTGCGGATTTGATAACATTAGCGACGTCGAGGAGGGTTGTGGCTAGCTGCGCACTCGCGCCGGCTAGGGTGATGAGAGATGCTACCAGACCGATGACCTCTGCCATAACGAAAAGGCTCTTTGTCTTCCACCGAAATCAGCGTCGGTGTGAGCGGTAAACGATGTGAAGGTCGCGCCAGGCTGTAGGAATTGTGCGCAACATGTAACAGCTCTTCAGCCTAGACATAAAAGCCTCTTTTCGCGGTCCTGCTGCTTCGCCCCCAAGGCTGAGATATGTACGTTGACTCTATTGGGCGTGACAGGTCGCATGCAGCGCGCATGGAGGTGCCCCGCACCGGTAAGCATCTTCATGACAGAGTGTACTCAGCCGTGCTACACCACCTGCAGATCCTTAATCGAAGCGAGGCAGAAACCCAAGGCGGATTTTGTTATCGGTGACGGATGGGTCTGATGTGGAGGCGGAGTGGAGAGGCGGCCGAAATGTGGCGGCGTGCGGTGACGCGGAGCAGGCGAGCAACTCGCGACTTCCAAAATCCAGGTCACATCCATCCTATCGGGTCGTCTCGAAACGGAAGTGACATCAACAGCAGAACTTGCGACGAAGATGCACTGGGGTAAACACATGTAATGACCGATTGGCGCACCCTATCCACTCTCCACATCCGCAGCCTTCGTCTCAACCTTGATCTCGGGCCCCTCAATCTTCTTAACCTTCCTCCCCTCCCACCACGACATGATCCCCGCAAACATCGCAACCCCACACCCCAGCGCAATAAACGTGCCCGTCGCCCACGTCGGGCGGTCCAACCGATTATAATGCCACATAAAAAAGCACAGCACCGCCTGCAACAGCGTATTCAACACCATCATATCAACCGTAAAAGCCAACTTCCACATCCCCGTCGGCGGCGCCCTCTCCCCCGTAAAAGTCTGCGGCATCAAGTCCTCCTCGCAGCGCCACCCCTCGTTCTCCGTGAACCAGGCCGGTGGCCGGAACCACGCTTTATTCTGGTTCCAGAGCCGGCGCATGGCGTTTGAGTCGTGGAAGTAGACGGCGCGGATGGACCAGTAGAAGTCGCGGAAGCGCCAGGGTGCGAGGCCGAAGCCCGTGACGCAGAAGAGGGCGTTGAGGATTTGGCTGTCGATTTCGAGCCAGATTTTGCGGGAGCTGTAGTCGTCGTCGCAGCTGGGGTGGCACATGGCGGGGGCGGCGTTGAGGAGGAGGAAGAAGAGCATTGCGCCCCAGGCCTGGGGTTGTTAGTAAGAGGAGGCACGAATGGGGAGCGCGCATACGTACGACGATGTTGAGGCCGTAGATGGTGATTAGGAAACCGGAGGGGGTGAGGAAGAAGACCCAGAAGGCTTTTAGACCGTGCTTGATGGTAGGGCCCCATGGCTCCTTGTCCGCAGACGCGTGCTTCTCCTTCAATGTTCGTCGACGGTGAAGTCCATGTCCGTGAGGTCTGCGCGACTTCTTCCCAGTCTTCTCGTCCACTTCTCCCGGTACAATCGCGTCTGCCGCTGGCTGGTCAAGGATCCTAGTCTGGGATTTAACCAAGGTGAGCTCTCCGTCTTCGTCTGGAACCGCTACTCGAGTGGCATGGCCATGCGCATCGAACGTGATGTTTGACCCTCCAGACTCTGGCTCTCGCAACTCTGTCAAGTTGGGCGCTTGAGCCATTGCCGTCGCAGTGGCCTGCCACATGCCCAGCTGCGGTGTCGTGTGCAGCAACGACAGCGACATGCCGCGCGCCCGCCCAATGATGCCCTTCTCTTGATCGTCGGCCATGGCTGGATGTGTATGCGCAACCGTCGTCGTACGCAATGCAAATCTGGACGTCCAGGTCGAGGTTAATGATGGAGTGGGTGCTGTTGCTTCACATGTCACTGAACCTGCGCTCGGTGTCTCGCCGTTGAGCTACTCGGGAGTAGAGACGGTGACGCCTATGTATGCGGCCCTCGGTCCAACTGTGATAGGCGTAACAACACGGACGATCATGGCGCCGCCACGCAAAGTCCTGAGATTCCGGTCCAGACTATCGAGATAGACACGGCCGAGCACAATCTGTTCGTGCGAAAGTTCGTTGGGCGCGGATGATCGGCGGCGCGGCATGGGCAACACGCTGTGGATTGGCCCGCTTCGCCGCAGAAGATCCGCGACCTGCAGATTGCGAGCCGATCGAGTAAGAGGTGTAAGCGTGCGCTAGAGGCAACCCGCAAAGACTGATTACTCGTACCAAGACCAACAGTTGAAGCATGTTGATGCCCGTCATTCGTCTAATCTTCCTATAATCCATCGGCAGCCCGATGTAGCTTCCGCGTGCAGCCGGTATCGCAATGCCTCTCAACTTCAGCTCCAGACAGAAGCGCGGCGAGTACCATGACGGGAAAGCGCAAAGTACCGGAAGAGTCAACACGTTCGGCCAGGTCGCCATACAATTCCACAGGAACACGACGCACCTGAAATACTGGTTCGACAAGCTCCAGAAAGATTCCGCGGCATGCCGACCCCCGGGATGCGCAAAACCGCGAAGAGGCAGCACGACTCTGGTGGATGAGTTCATCAGCGACAAGACGAGCAGCATCAGCGCACCGCGACTGAACATCGCGATACATATCTGCGGGTCTCGTGGCGATGTGCAGCCTTTCATTCCGATTGCGAAGCTGTTACAAGCTGCGCCACATCACCACCGAGTGCGCATCTGCACGCATCCCGCCTTTAAGGACTTTGTGGAAAGCAACGGGGTGGAGTTCTTTTCCATCGGAGGCGACCCCGAAGCACTCATGGCGTACATGGTGAAGAACCCAGGGCTGATTCCAAACATGCAGTCCATCAAAGCCGGGGACATTGGCAAGCGACGAAAAGAGATGGCCGAGATGATGGAGGGGACCTGGAGGAGTTGCATCGAGGCGGGTGACGGCATGGGCGAGAGAGTCTCGGCGTTGGACGTGGACGCGCCTGAGGATCTGTTCATCGCAGATTGCATCATTGCGAACCCGCCGTCCATGGGCCACATCCACTGCGCGGAGAAGCTTGGCATCCCGTTGCACATGGTCTTCACCATGCCGTGGTCGCCAACAAAAGCTTTCCATCACCCCCTAGCGGCCATGGAGTATGGCGAGGTTGAGAGGTCGGTCGCGAATTACTTCAGCTTCGGCATCATGGAGCTGCTCACTTGGCAAGGTCTCGGAGATGTCATCAACAAGTTTAGAACGCAGACCTTGCACCTAGACGCTATTAGCCCGCTCTGGGGTCATCTCTTGCTTTCGAGACTTCGCGTCCCATATAGCTACCTATGGTCACAGGCTTTGATCCCGCGGCCAGCTGACTGGGGCTCACACATCAGCATTACCGGTTTCTCGTTCCTGGATGCCGGGTCGAACTACACGCCGCCGGACGATTTGGCCGAGTTTCTTGCGAAGGGTCCTCCTCCGGTGTACATTGGTTTTGGCAGCATAGTGGTCGATGACCCAGTGGCTCTCACCAAGCTCATCTTCGAGGCCGTGAAGTTAGCCAAAGTTCGGGCCATAGTGTCCAAGGGCTGGGGCGGCGTGGGTGCGGGTGATGTGCCGGATGATGTGTATCTCATTGGTAATTGTCCGCACGACTGGCTCTTTCAGCGGGTATCTTGTGTAGTTCATCACGGAGGTGCGGGTACGACAGCTGCCGGGATTGCCTTAGGAAGGCCTACGGTTGTTGTGCCCTTCTTCGGTGATCAGCCCTTCTGGGGGCAGGTAAGTCTTCATGAATGACTGACTGAGCTGATCTAACAATATGATAGATGATTGCAAAGGCCGGAGCTGGACCAATGCCCGTCCCATTCAAACAGATGACTGCCGAGAGCCTTGCGACAAGCATAAACTTTGCGCTCCAAGATTCGGTCAAGGTCGCTGTTCAAAAGATGGCCGAGAGTATTGCGGAGGAAGACGGCGCTGGCGATACTGTGCGCGACTTCCAGCAGAAACTCGGCATTGATGGCATGCGATGTCATATCTGTCCGGATCGCCTGGCTATCTGGCGTGACAAAGAGACTGGAGCACATCTGAGTGGCTTGGCAGCCTCCGTGCTTGTCCAAGAAAGACGGTTGGATCTGAAGCATCTACGTTTGCTGCAACATCGGCATTACTACACCCATGAAGGAGCCGAAGGACCGTTTGTCGGTGTTGTCGCTGCTTTCGGAGGACTTATGGCCTCTTTAGGCACAGATACGGCTGAGTTCTCACAGCGACTGAAGAAGAGACCACGTGAGACTGAGGCCGACGCAGAAGCCTTGAGAAGAGTGCCGACTGTTGATGAGCCAGACGTGGAGAAGGGTATAACATCTAAACACTTTCACCATTTGGCGTACAGGATGGCGGAGAAGTCATGCGATGATGACTACACGCACAATTTCGAGAAGCCGCAAAACCGCCCGGGGATATCAGCTCTTCGCGAGAAGATCGCTGCGAGGAAAGCAAGAGGCGGCCGTGGATTTCAGATCACAAGCGCCACCGCGCATTACGTCGGTGATCTTGCGGCTACAGGAGCCAAAACCCCAGTCGCCTTCTTCTACAACATCGCCAATGGCTTCCGAAACCTACCCTCATACGCAATCCACAACGACCCCGCGCGTCAAAGAGACGAAATCACCGGTTTCGGCAGCGGCTGCAAGCTCGCCGGCAAAGAATTCGTGCTCGGCCTCAGCGACGCACTTGTAGGCATCGTTCGACACCCGTATCTCGGCGCGAAACAAGAAGGCGCCATGGGCTTTGGCAAAGGAATTGGGCGAGGTCTCGCTGGGCTATATCTCCATTTGGGAGCCGGTAAGTTCGGGTTCCGAATGCTCCGCTTATCCGCTTATCTAACACTGTTGTCAGCGGTCTTTGGCCTGCCAGGATACTTCCTGAAAGGCGTCGAGAGGGGCCTCTTGGCTCGGCATCTCACTGCGCTGCAGGCGGAGATTTTCTTTATCCAGCTGCGCCGATCTGCGGTCGCGTTCCGTGGTGCGAGTGATGTTGAGAAGGCGGCGGTGGTGAAGAAATGGGCGGAAGTGAAATCAAGCATAGACAGGCATTAGCGAGGAGTTTTCTTCGTAGGGCTAGTGGCCTCGTCTGCAAGGCACCTAACAAAGGATACAGAGCGTTCGCTAAGGTTATTATTAGCTCTCTTTACTAAAAACTAGTATACTACTTAAAGTAATTATTAGTTATATTACTACTACTACTTAGCTAAAATAAAGTATAAGTAGCTAAAACTTTTACTTATAAATTTTTACTTATATAAACTACTATAAATATAGTAGCTATAGTACGTTAAAATTAGCTTTTTTATATAAACTTAGACTAACTTAAGTAAAACTTACTTTATAATAGCTATATAATAGTATAAATTATATAAGCTAAAGCTAAGTCTTAATATACTTACTATAATAATATAGTTTACTAGTACTACTATATAAGCTAAAAACTTAATTTTAAGTAATTTAATAAAACCTAAATAAGATACTTTTATACTACTAGCTTTATTTTTAATTACTTTATATAGCTTTTTTATATAAACTTAGTTATATACTATTTACTAGTACTATTATTTATACTAAAGAATACTTAAAAAGCGTTATAAGCGTAAAAGTAAAATAAAAAGATAATTATATTTATTTAGAGAATAGAATTTTATAAGAAAGCTTATAAGTAAGTTAAAAGTAATAAAAGGTAACTATTAGAGGCTTGCAAGTAGATTTAATTAATAACCTTAGCTCTAGCTTTGCTTAAAATGTTGTTAGTTGCAAGGAATAGCTAGTGGCAGCCTGGGCCGCTACGCCCCGTTAGTTTTCGCTTCAGCGCGGTGAGCGCTAGCCAGGTAGCACCGCGCGACCACCGATATGGCTACGATTGCGACGGGCTACAAAAGCGATTGCCAGGCCGTTGCGAAACGTGACATCAATATACCCCTATCCTCTTCATTGTTGTTTGACTTTGAGATGTATACGCCCCGTGGTGATCGCTAGCGACGTAGCGACAAGCTTACGACTTCTACGCCCCGAAGTGTGCCGCCGGGACACGACGTCGTCCCAGAGGCAGCGTACGATGGATTCAATTGACTTGAAGCGCGCAGCATGGCAGGTCGCGCTATCTGCAGCGACTGCCGCCATTGTTGTTTTCATGTTCAAGCTGGTGAAGATGCGCATGATCTTCTACAGGCTCAAAAAGCAGGGCATGGTACGCCGTCTCCCCCAAACACACCACAACGCATGAGCTAACATTCCCTCCTCAAAGCCAGTTCCGACATGGAACTTCGCAGTCGGAAATCTCACAGTTTTGCCAGACCTCCTCAAACAATTCCCCGAAGGCTCGCAGCAGTCTGATGCCTTTACCTTGCTCTCCAACTCCTTCCCCGACTCGGACAACTGCTTCTACGTCGATCTGTGGCCGTTTACCAGTCCGCTCATGATAGTCACGTCGCCCGAGATGGCGATTCAGGCATGTCAGGAATACGATCTGCCCAAGCCGCCCATTCTGATTCCGTTCTTCGCGCCGTTCGCGGGAGGTGCGAATCTTTTCGATATGAATGGCGCGGAGTGGAAGAGGTCGAGGGCGCTGTTTAACCCGGGGTTTAGTGATAGGGTTATGATGGAGAGTACGCCGCATATCATCGAGGAAGCCGAAGTTTACGTGGGACTGCTGCGAGAGCATGCGAAGAAGGGGGATACGTTTTCTTTGGATCGATTGACTTGTGATTATATGATGGATCTCATCGGCGTCATCACCATGTAAGCATACCACCAGCTCATCACGTGTGTCTCAAGTACTAACACAACCAGCAACGCACGTCTCCACTCCATGACCAGCCATAACGCCCTTGCAGCAGCGATGCGTAGCTCCATAGAATGGAATTGCCGGGACCAAGAGATGAACCCGTTCAAGCGCTGGAACCCGTACCGCCCCTGGATTGAATGGCGAAACGGCAAAACGATGGATCGCTACATCAGCACGGAGCTCGACAAGCGATATGAAGATTGGAGAAGCAACAAGCCGTCCACCCGCGCCAAGTCTGTCATGGACATCACAATAGCCGCGTACATGGGCGAGCGCAAAGGAGCGGCCAAGCTCGACCCTGAGTTCAAGCGGTGGGCGACGGTCCAAATTCGGCTGTTCCTGTTCGCTGGACACGATTCGACGGCCGCTACCATCGTATACAGTCTATACATGCTGTCCAAACACCCAGAAGCCCTGGCCAAAGCCCGTGCGGAGCTCGACGAAGTCTTTGGCGCAGGCAACGACACAGCCGCCGGTGTGCTCAAGAAGCATCCAGAGCAAATCAACAAGCTCCCTTACATGAACGCCGTAGTCAAGGAGACTCTCCGCCTCTTCCCACCCGCCTCAGGCATGCGAGGCGGTCTCCCCGGCATCTTCCTCCGCGACAAGAACGGCAACAAATACCCCACCCAAGACATCAACATCTGGGTCGTCCACGGCGCAATCCAGCGTAACCCAAACTACTGGCCCGAACCTCACGCCTTCTTGCCCGAGCGCTGGCTCGTCGAACCTGGTCATGCTTTGTATCCACCAAAGGGAGGATGGCGGCCGTTTGAATTTGGCCCGAGGAATTGCGTGGGCCAGACGCTGGCGATGCTGGATATCAAGATTACGCTGGCTATGACGGTCCGCGAGTTTGATGTGAAGGATATGTATGAGGAGTGGGATCGACTAAACCCTTCGAAGGGAATTAAGACGGTGTTTGGAGAGAGAGCGTATCAAGTGCCGCAGGGGGCGGCGCATCCGGTGGATGGGTTTCCTTGTAAGGTGAGTATGCAGGAGTCGTAGTGTGATGTATCAGCACTCCAGCGCGGAGAAGTGTCGCGAAGTCGTTGTAGGAGACTTCGCATCATGCGCATCTTGATCATTTTGAATGCATTGAGCACGCAAGGGCATAATCCTGGCTTCCGACTATATGCGATAAGCAATGTTCCACGATGTCGGCCGTGTGGTGCTGTGTAGTACGCGTAGTGGCGGTGGTTGTTCCGCCAACGCCATGTTTAGTGCGCGCGGCAATCTTTCCGATTTCCGAGCGTGCACCCTGGGCGGGCTGCAACTTTGTATACTAGCACCACCAGCACCAGCACCAGCACCACCGACTGCACCGCTACGCATTGATACGACTGATACGCTTTTCCGACACGTATATATCCAATTCACCTCTTGATTCCTTACGTAACGACTTCATTGGCCAGCTGCACACCTCGCACCGACCCTCACGCAACGCCGTCACCTCACCGCACATGCGATAGTCACCGTCACACCACGCCCCGATCGAGATGCTAGGCTTCCGTCCGCTATCCGTGGGCAAGCGGAAAGCCAAGTCGTACAACCAGGCGGCGACCCACGAGCGCGATGTCGAGGACGGCGAGGTCAACGAGAAGGGCTACGCCAGCGACGACTACGAGGCCTACATGTCCTCGGGCACAACGAGCCCATCCTCATCCCGAGAATCCTCGGGCGCATACGATCCGAACCCGAACAACATCGAATCGAGACCGCTGCGACGGTCCTCCAAATCTCACCGGAGAGCCCCTTCGAAAGCCACCGTCAGCGCATACAGCTACCGGAATCCGCGGGCATGCACAAGATACTTTGGGCTAGCCGTGGCGAGTACGCTGCTCTTCTTCATGTACTTCCTCTTCAGCAGCAGCTGGGCCTCGATACGGAATGCAGAGCTCGGCCTGAACAAGCCGCCGCCGCCGCCCAACGTCTGGGAGAGCTTCCCGTTCCTGAAGCGGTACCACGGCGGCGTGCGGTCGCTGGTGAGCCGCGAGAAGAACGTGCCGGAATACCCCACCAAGCAGGACATTGACCCTGAGCTGCCCGCCGAGGAGCCCAAGAGCGACGTCGATAAGCGACAGTCGCAGGGCGCACACATTGCCGAATCAATACCGTTCGACCCGTACCCAGACTACAGCGGCGTCAACTACGTGGACAGATACGGGCCGGTCGAGACGTGCTATCTCGATGCGAACGACACCATCAAGGTGCCAGGGCTGCGGGCATACAAGGGCGTGCCCCAGGGTATGCCGGATAACGTCATTGGGAGCTACGAAACGCTGGGTCTGAGGGACGATGTCTGTTTTGAGCGCTTCGGACGGCTCGGTCCGTATGGCCTCGGCTACAGCAAGCGGCGCGGTGGAACGGGCGCCGGCATGGAGGGCGACCGCGAAGGCATCGAAGACGTGTGGAAGGTGGACGCCGAGGTTGACTTCCGCGACGTCAGCTGGGCGGAGGCAATCGACCGTTGCCTGGAGAAGAACAAGGGCCGCTTCCAGAAGCAACCCAAGTCGCGGATAGACTCGTTCACCATGCAGAAACGCGATGCTGACGACTCTCCCGCAAACGGCACCGTACTACAACCGAAGGCGGCGCACAACACGCTTCTCCCCAGGACTGCGGTCCTCGTCCGAACATGGGACGACTACAACTATGACGACGAAGACATCATGTACCTGCGCGCACTCATCTCCGAGTTGAGCCTCGCGTCCGGCGGCGAATACGAAGTCCACTTCTTGATCCAAGTCCACGACGACAACAAGCAGATCTGGGCCGACGAAGCGATCCACCAGGAAGTCCTCAAGAACGCGCTACCTGCTGAGTTCGCCGGCATGGGCACGCTCTGGTCGGAACGTCAGATGGGCTTGATTTACGGCGGTCTAGAGGAGTCAAACTACCGCGGGCTGCCTGTACACGGCGTGTATCGCTCCACTTTCATGCCCGTCACATACTTTGCACACCAGCACCCCGAGTTCGACTTCTTCTGGCACTGGGAGATGGACGTACGGTATACTGGCCACCACTACCACCTCTTCGAACAGGTCTCCAAATGGACGACCGCCCAGCCGCGCAAAGGGCTGTGGGAGCGCGACGCCCGTTTCTACGTCCCATCAGTCCACGGCACTTGGGAAGAGTTCAAGCAAATGGTGCACTGGCAGACTCAGCACGGCACAAACAACCAAGCGAACAAATGGTCATCGCATCTCCCACCCAACCCACACGTCCCCCTCGCCGAAATGCAAAAGCCCGAGAAGCCAGTCTGGGGCCCAGAACTCCCGCAAGACTACCCCGATATCGAAATCGACGACAACGTAAAACCCAACACGACCATCACAGAAGACAAGTACGAGTGGGGCGTTGGCGAACCCGCCGACCTCATCGTCTTCAACCCCCTCTTCGACCCCGACCACACCAACTGGATCCTCGCCGACGACGTCACGGGTTATGATAAGAAGAATGGTCTGCCTCCTCGCCGCACCGCCATCAACACCTCCGGCCGCCTGTCCCGCCGTCTCCTCGAAACAATGCACCGCGAACAGTCGCGCCACCGCCACACCATGTTCTCCGAAATGTGGCCCGCGTCCTGCGCCCTGCACCACGGCCTCAAAGCCGTGTACGCCCCGCACCCGGTGTTCATAGACCGCAAATGGCCAACCCAGTACCTCGCCGCTATCTTCAACAACGGCCGTAATGGCGCGAGCGGCGGTGCGCGCATGTCTGTCTTTTCGGATGAGCGCCAACATAACTTTTTGGGTACGACTTGGTACTACCACGCTGGCTTTGCGCCTAATCTGTGGAAGAGGTGGATGGGGTATAAGGTTGATAATGATGGTGGCGAGGAGTATGAGGTCACGGGTGAGGGGAGGATGTGTTTGCCTGCTGTGTTGTTGCATCCGGTTAAGCAGGTTGATTTGGTGCAGGAGAAGGAGAGGGTTGAGGAGGGTGGGAAGGTGGAGTGATGATTCGGGATAGCGAGGCGTTGCGCATTCGACTGCATTGGCGTTATGGAGTCGCGTTGGACACGCGGATGTTAATAGCGTTTGATTCTTGTTGTATATGACTAGAGACGATCTCAATTGCCATTCATGTTGGATATGGATATATGAACAGCTATCTCGTAGGCGATTTTTATGTAGCCTTGCTTTTGTATATGTATTCAGACTATACTTACTGTTGCTCTTGAATCTGCTTCCTCAAGTCTTCCTCGCACGCTCAATAGGCTCGCCGCGATTCCGAAACTTTGCGAGCGGGTGGTAGAAACGGAGGGGTCGTGATGAATGTCTCCTCTCTCCCTCCACGTCGCCCTTAGACCTTCTTCCAACCTCCCCTCACACTCAATAACTCCTCGGCAACCCCAAAACCTTCTCCCCAATATAATTCAACACCATCTCCCTACTCACCGGCGCAATCCTCGGTACAAAGCACTCCCTCAAAAACCGCTCCACATCATACTCTGCCGCATACCCCATACCCCCATGCGCTATCACCGCCCTCTCACACGCCGTAAACGCCGCCTCACCCGCAAGATACTTTGCGCTATTCGCCGCAACCCCAATCGCATCCTGCCTGATACTCTCATCCGTTTTACTCGCATCGTACAACCGCGCCGCGTGGTACGTGACATGTTTCGCGGCTTCAAGCTGCATGTACGCGTCCGCGAGGGGGTGTGATATGCCTTGGTTCATGCCGATGGGCCGCTGGAAGACGTGGCGTGAGCGCGCGTAGGCAGCGGCTTTTGTGAGGGCCGCGTAGCCTAATCCGAGGGCTTCGCCTGCGAGCAGACACCGCTCTGCGTTCATGCCCCCGAGGATGATTTTGAAGCCTTCGCCTTCGCGGCCGACGAGGCAGGAAGCGGGGATATGGTAGGCGTCGAAGAAGACTTCGTTTGCGTCTACGGCGCGCCCGCCCATTTTCTTGATTCGTCGCATGTCCAGTCCTGGCGCTGAGCGATCAAGTGGGATGCAAAATAGACTCAGCGCTTTACTCGGTTTCTCCGCTTCTTCGCGTGGGGTCGTTCGCGCGAGTAGGATCATGCGTGAAGCGACTTGCGCACATGTTATCCATATCTTCTGCCCCGTTATGCTATACCCCTTCCCATCCCCATCCTTCCGCGCAAACGTACTCAACCGTAGTGTATCCAACCCCGAATCCGGTTCCGTAACCCCAAAGCACGTCCGCCACTCCCCCGATATTATCCTCGGTATCGTTTCCTGTAACTGTTCATCACTCCCATACTTAGCCAGCGGCTACGTCGCATACACATTCGCGTGAATCGCCTGCGCGCCCGCGATACCAGCGCCAGATTCAGCGATTGTCTGCATCATCATCGTCGCTTCTGAGATCCCCAGTCCAGAGCCCCCGTATGCTTCTGGTAAAGCGATGCCGAGCCACCCGTCTTTTGCGAGTGCGGCGTGGAAGTCCGAGGGGTCGCTGCTGCTGTCGTCGCGGTCGCGCCAGTAGCTGTTGGGGAAGCGGGAGCAGAGCGCGAAGATGGCGTCGCGGATTTCGAGTTGTGTGGGGGTGAAGCCGGTTGTTTCCATGATGTGGTGGCGGGGGGTGCTGCTGAAGCGGCATCGTTGGGGGTGGATGCGGAGGCGGAAAGCGTTGCGTGGCGCGCGCGAGATGCGCAGTGTGCGCGCTGCCGCTGGGGATAGCATCGTGCTTTAGTGGTAGTTACATCGGTGCTGTTGTTGCGCTCACGGCTGTCGCATGACGTTGGTTGTTGACGCGCGAAGTAGCCGACTTGCGATGTTGCCGCAGGTAGGGTCCAGAGTTGTATAGCCGAGGTGAAGTGCTATAGTGCGCTCCACGACACCGTGTCGCTTGCAACGCGGCATAGCAGTCTAAGTCTTGCGAATTATTACTCTACTTACTAAGCTTCTAGAAGTATCTATAATAGAATAAAATTATAAGTAGTATAAGAAAAACTAAGCTAGAAAGAATAGATTTAGGTAATTAGAATTAAAATTCTATATAACTCTATATAGAGTTAAGCTACTCTACTTCTAGCTAATACTAGAGGTAGTAACTAGATTTTTTAAGGTATAAGACTATATAAGCTCTAGAGATCTATACTAGCTAGCGTATAGAGCTCTTATAATATTATATTACTTCTATCTAAATATTTATAATATTATATCTTATAGTGCGTATATATATATTACTTCTATCTAAAGTTTTATACTATACCTATATATATATTATATTATAATTATCTAAAGTTTTAATATTTCTTACTAAGACTTAAAATAGTAGCTTTACTTTAGAGTTAATACTATATATACTATATATATATTATATCTATAAGTAAATTTATTATACTTACTCTAAAAGCTATAATATTAAGTTAAAAGCTAATTAAATATCTATATATATTTTCTACTTCTATTATAATAACTTACTTTAAACTCTATATATCTATCTACGCGTTTTATATAAAGTATACTTTACTAATAATATCTATATTACTAATAATACTATCTTTCTATAAATTACTTATAATTAAAACTAGAATACTATACTTATAACTATTTTTACTTTATACTAAAAGTAATAAATTTTATAAACTTATAAAGATAAACTAATACTATAAAAGTTTATCTATTTTCTTTCTATAAATATACTACTAGTTAATATATATTATCTTAGTATATAAGAGCTACTTACCTTTATATATATCTACTAAGTAGTACTTTAAAATAGTATATATTTAGTAGCTTAGTATTAGTACTTTTAAATAAAATATACTATAAAAACTACTATTTAGAGCTATTAAAGCTATTAAGTAGAATAGGTAATATATAGTTAACTTCTTATTTATATTCTCTACTAATATCTTATATAGTTTATAATTTTATACTACTCTAAGTAGATATTTTATAAATATATTACTAATCTAACTAATTATAGATATAGTATAATATATATATAGAATAATATTAGTGTACTACTAAGCTAGCGCTTATTCTAACTATACTATAGTATATTTTAGTAACTTAAACTCTAATAACTTTATCTAAGAATTTCTTTACTTTATTAGCTATATTCTATTTTTCTACTTTTATAATATACTCTATATAAATAAAACTAAGATATAAGTATATATAGAAGTTATATTAATTAATTACTACTAGTAATAATAGCTATAGTTCTAGATATTATAGAAAGTTTATAAACTTAATTTAAAAAGTAAACTAAGTTAGAACTAGTATTATTATAGTTTATAGTAGAAGGTTTATAATAAAAACTAGATTATCTATTAAAGTAGTACTTATATCTATAGTATTCTTAGTACTTTTATAACTCTACTCTACTATAGTTATATTTACTAAAGTTAGTAAAAAATAAAACTTACTAGGTTTAGGTTAAGTTTACTACGTAATATAGAGAAAATTAAAGTAAAGTTTTATTTATCTATAACTTCTTTTTATTATAAACCTCTAGATATACCTTATAAAACTACTATTAATTAAAGTAGAAAAGAATATAAAATTAAAATATTACTACGTATAGTCTCTATCTTTAATTCTTTATTATATATTATAACTATAAGCTTTTATATATATATTTCTTACTAAAGTTTCTATTTATAGCTCTCTAACTAACTATAATTATTATCTATAGTGCTAAAACTAACTATTATTTCTATCTATAGTATAAAAGAAGCTTAGTGTAAATAAATTATCTTAAAGAATTTAGGCTAGCCTATAATTCTTTACTATTTACCTCTTTTCTATACTTTTTTTCTTTATCTATCTATTATATATAATAGTTTTAATATATTTACTATATTACTATATTTCTACTTATTATATACTATATCTACTATAAACTCTATATAAACTATTTCTTATAACTATAATATACTATTTATTATAGCTTACCTATATAACTTATTATATATAACTTATTATATATAATAGTCTATTACTACTATTCTATAGCTATATTATATTTTATAATATAATATACTTTAAAGTATAAGTATTATATAAATATTATTAAGTATATATATAATCTACTAATAGAGTACACTACTCTTAATACTTTATATTATTTATATACACTTTACTATCTATATATAATAGAAAAGTAATATTATAAAAGTAATATAATTAGAATCTAGCTATAAATCTCTTTATATAGCTATCTAAACTAGAGATATAATAGTATTATAAACTAATATATTTATATATTATAGTTATAACTATAGCTATAACTATAGTAACTAACTTATAATAGTAACTTAATCTTCTAAGTATAAGTTACTAGTAATTTTTATAGTAACTAACTAGATACTCTACTATTATAATCTTACTATATATCTAATAAACCTACTTTTATACACGCTTAACTTAATTTTAATAATACTTAGCTATATACTATTATAATTATACTTATTAATACTATTACTAGATTAATATTTAAAGATATACTACACTAGTAATACTATTTTTATTTTTATATTAGATATAATATTATTACTTTCTAATATTAATACTATTACTATAATAACTAAAAATTTACACTAAGACTTATAATAGCGCTATTATTTACGTTTACCTTTATAATAAATACTAGACCTAGTTAAACTATAAACTATACGCCTAAACTACTTTTTATTAATAAGTACTATCTTTATAACTATAATATACTATAGACTTTATAAAAGTTACTACTAATCTTATAGTTATTTATATATCTATTAAGATATAAGCTAAATATATACTTATTACTTCTAGTATATAAAAGTTATAATAATAGCTCTAATAAAGAATTTTACTACTTTATTAATATTCTTTTTATATAATAAATAGCGTTTATACTTAATAAAATTATAGTAATAGTATCTTAGCGCGCTTTTAAAGATAAGTAAACTAATATTATTACTAGTTTTTATTAATTTTATAAGCTAAACTTAACTATAATACTAGTTCTATTTCTAAATCTAAAGTAGAGTTTAACTTTAAACTTCTCTATACTACTAACCTAGAAC